ATGATTTTTGTAGAAAGCGTCCTTACCTTTTGTTTTTTTTGCGCATTTCATCCCTACCTTTATATTTTCTTGTGCAAAACATCCTTTTTCATCAATTTTCTCAATAAAATGCTATAAAATGACCAATATACCATTCTATTTAAATTTAAAAAAAAACAAAAATAAATAAATAATTGTAATCATATTCCCAATTTTTGAAAAAAAAACTTCAAAAGAGTCCCAAACAAAAAAATAAAAAAATACATAATCCTCAAAAATTAAGGAAAGAACATAAAGATAAAACTAAAGAAATAAAATCTCAAAAATGTTGCTTTTATACATACAAACAGGTCCCCAAACTGTTACCCTCGGAGGCCATAATCCTCAAAAATTAATCTCCTCATGTTGATTTCAGTTCAATCTCTTTCACAAAAGGATGTGATAACAACAAGGTTGCACTCCATCGTTTACTGGAATCCTTCTGCGAACAACACTGAATGAAATTCTTGAAATTTTTCGATGCACTTTCTGGCAAGCTCGATGGTTCACCGAAGCATATGACACAAATAAGTGTAGCCCAGTCAGGTCTTTGCCCCTTCGGCAAGTATGGAAAATGGCCCATGAACAGTTCCAGTAGAGTCAATCTTAAGCTCCATATATGACTGGCGTACCCGTTGTAATTTCCGCCGTTTGTATCTGGGTCGAATTTTTTCGGGCTAATATAAGCGTAGGTTCCAACGTAGGAATAGCAGGGATCCAATGTCCGGTGTATGATTTTACTAACTCCAAAATAAAAAATAAAAAAATATTCACTTCAGTTTTATTGTTTACTAATATACTTGACAGCTTCAAATCTCTATGAATGATCTTGTGGGAGTGCAAATATTCATTTATTTTTGTTTGGGGCTATTTTGAACTTTTTTAAGAAATTTAAATAGAAGGGTATATTGGTCATTTTATAGCCTTTTATTGTAAAAAAATGATGAAAATAATGTTTTGCATAAGAAAATATAAAGGTAGGGATGAAATGCGCCAAAAAACGAAAGGTAATGACATTTTCCACAAAAAATCATGAAAGGTAAGGACGTTTCTTGCTAATTACCCTTTGTCATAAGTTAGAGATCCCATTTGTTAACTTCCCCCCTCTTCCTTTTCTTTTAATAGAAAGGGACCTATTTACCATATTTTTAGTAATTTTTGAATCTTTACGATGACATTTGTACTTGTTAGAAAATATGGTTTGTAGGTTGTCCATCTGAAGTGATCCGACCCACAAAACATTTAAAAGATTGGATGAAATGGTTTGAACTTGAAATGCAAACTTACAACTCCATATAATCGTTCTTAACTCCCATACAACATCCAATAGTTATTGCTTGGAAAAGGAGAGAGAAAATATGGTAATAGAATGGTGAAAAT